GATTGTAGATTTTCTTTATCATTTGAATATTTCAGCACAAATGATCGTTTGTCTATCAAAAACAAAAAACAAATCATAATAATTAAATCTTATTTAAGATAATTACCCGTTGTTGTAGGGAGGAATTCATGCCATTCTATCTTTTGATTATTGCTTGGGTCATTTCTCCAACCTGGATCTATATAAAAAAAAATTACTTTTGAATTGTTCAAAACCATAACAATAACATCCTACTGACCTTCATTGGGAATATTTAATTGAGCTTCAATAAACAAAGAAAAAAGTCAATAGTTGTGCGAGAAAATCAGTTTTTTTGATAAAACTTACCCGCAATACCAATAAGGTATAGAATAAGGAGCAAGAACACAAAACGGTCCATGATCCTTGTTTTTTAAACAGTATCTCGCATAAAAAATATATTCTAAAACAGAAAATATATACACTGAAATTGTTTCATTTAACCCTCTATACGTCCATCCTCATTTTGAATAATATAAATATGCTTTAAAAAAAGTGTCTTATCTTTCTTTTGTTACTTTTTTCAGTAGTAGATATAGGTGATAACTCTCTCTCTCTCCTTCGTTAAAGGGAGAGAGAGGAATAGATAGATAGATTTCAAGGCAGTACAAGGGCAGAAAAATAGAAGCATTATTTTTATCAAGATAATTTTTTTCTCATCTAACCATAAGCATGAGATGAGTGATACATCTCTACCAAAACATAAGACCTATTATTAACAAACAAAGAAAAAGAGTCTTAGTCTAACAAAGATATATCAGGTAAATATTGCACACCAAGAAATAAAATCTTAACTTTCTATCTTGTAAAAGATATACAACTATGGTTGTGAGCAAACAACATGACAATTATGTAATACAAAAAAAAGAAGAAATAGATTTCTAAAATAAACTTCTTGAAAAAAATATGCATTCAAGCCTTTAAGGTTATCTTGAAAATTTGCATTGTGAGTTTTTGAAGTGGAAGAATTTATTGTACTGAATACGTTCTGTACTTCGGACTAATATATTGATGTTGATTTTCGTTGTTATCTGTAGAAAATGAGATGTCGAAAGAATCTATGCAACTATAAAATATCTATGTTTTCTTATAAATTTCAGACGTTTAAATCGTTTATAAAGAAAAACAACACATAACAAACTTAAAGTATTTTGAATAGACCTTACGACTTTTATAAATACACATAACATAAAGAATAATGTTATCTAAAACACTTATAATATTACAGCACACTGGAATGAGTATTCTACTGATAAAAGATAATTTGAAGAAAAAAATATTTCTTACCTAATTAAAAAGCGATTATTAACAATTATTACAGGAAAATCATCAGAAAAATCCGCTATTTCCGATAAAACTTTTATTGAATTCCTAAAACTTGTTCTCGAAATTTTTTAATACATTACAAAGTGTATAATAGAATATAAACTGTTTAAAATTATATCTTTCATATGGATGAAAATAGATTTATACAGAAAAGTAACATCTTTAGTATCCACCAAGCATTCTCATAACGAAGTTCAGAAGTGAGATTTCCGATACTTGTGTTTAATGAAAGTTATTCAACGATATCATTTGTTTCTGTATTAATATCAACATCTTCATCTTTTTTCTTGACTTCTCCGTAATTCGTTGCATTCTCAATATGATGTATAAATTCTTTTGAAAAAAGAAGATCATCTTTTAAAGCTGCGAGAGCGTCTATAGGTATTCTTAGTTTTCTGGCCATCTTAGCACCATTACAAATGTGAAAATTCAATTGGTAAATCAATTCTTTTTTCTTTCTTTTATAACGATCTGAATAAGAACCATTAATTAAATAATTATTAGCTAATGATAACTATCATATATAAGTAAATATTCAAACCAAAAAAATATAAGAAATACGTAAAAGTGATAAATAAAGACCAAGATAAGACAAGTGTCAAGAGTGCACAAAATGAGTCAACATTTCTATTTGTTACTAACTCTTGTGTTTTAAAATAGAGCTAATTATAGCAAGTCTTCCCAGTCAGACAAGAGTTGAAAAAAAACGGCGTTTTTACGCGTTAAAAGACGTTTTTTTCTTCGAATCAAATGATTTCCACAACGTGGACATTCACAATCTTCTTTTATTTTCCAAAAAAAAAAAATCAAATTGCATAAAGCGTTAAAATGTGCGCTTTTTACGTGTAAAAACGCCGTTTTTTGCAACACTTGTCTGACTGGGTTGGTCTCTATTTAATCAAAGACGTAATACATGCTTTTATCGCATAAAAAATACAAAAGAGCAAAAAAACATAAAAACTGACAAAAAAAAAATCAAAATTTCAATATGAATTTAAGATTAAAACGCTATAAATTATTCACTATTACAGGTTTGCAAAAATTGGGATAGTTGTTAAACGAAGAAAAAACACCATTTTTTTTTCCTTTATAGAATTAATTGAGTTTCGAGAATGAAGATCCATAACCAATAACTTCTTAAAGGTTTTCTGGGTTTCAATGAGATCTTTTTCTAGTCAATACATGAAGTCGAAAGTTCGAAAATTAATGTAGGATACTTTCCTTATTGATTCCTATATGTTATTGTGTCAGCGGTTGTTTCAATTTAATGCTCTTATTTCTTGCATCATTGAAACATATCGCATAGTGCCAAAATAAAGAAAAAAAAGCTTGAGTCTAAAATAATTCTCACAAATTTTTAAATATTGCAACGCCCTTGAAAGTTCGACATTTATTAGTAACGTAAACGTTTTATAATGAGCAAACGCTACAAATAAAATTTTTATCAATTAGATTAGACGATATCAATGAAATAATTTCCAACAATCATGAGTTAAGTCAAATATCGTCACAGCATATTTTACTTACCAAAATACATTGTAACAATGTTTTTTAGATAATTTCTTGTAGAGATGTACTGATACCGGTAGGACCAGCAAAAGGGTTAGAAACTACCAATAACTGAATATCTATTGGCTCCACCAACAAAATTACCGGCGGCTTTGGGTGCTTTTTTGATAGCATATTAAATCAATATAATACTGGCACTAGTGCATCTCTAAGTTTTTTATTGATTCAATTGTAGAACACTAAGAAATACATTATGATCCTCTCACTTAAGTTTTTGTTTTATTGTCTTTAAATGTTTTTCCAAAAATGCCACAATGATTTAAAATATAAAGTCATTTGATTACAAAATATCATATACGGTATAGCCAATGCATATGTTAACTCTCACTTGATAAATATCCTCATCATTATCACTCAACATGAAATGATAGTAAGATTGATTTACGGTATTTTTTCGAGCGAATTGTTGCACATAAACTTTGAATACAGAGGACGAGATTAAGTAACGAAAAAGTCGGACCGTCTCAAGAGAAAGAATAATGAATAATACACTTCTTCAGAATAATGAACATGAGTCTTTTGTATTCTTTTAGTTAGCCAACGCTTTCATTTCGATTTTTTTTTATAAATGAAGATAATCATAATTTATATAGATGAATAAGTTAATCATCTAAATGCTTGTTCACAAGTAATATTCATAGAAATTAGTTACTCCTAGTAAATGTACTGAGTTCAAAGTACTCGTATATACTTGGACAGCTTGTATCAGTGTAACTGAATAGCATATGAGTGCTGACTAAGATACTCATTCGAGTACTTATCCACATCCCATAAAAAAATTTTTCAAGAAATTAGTCTATACACAAAATCCTGTTACATTAGATATACAATAATTATCAACGATCGTTAGGTTTTAAATAAAATTAAAATTTGTTACTTTCCTCATTTCATTCAAATCAAGATTAACTACATAACAACAGTGCTATCTATATTTGTCAATATTTAGTTAGTTTCTTTTTTAAAATAATGTAACTATTGGTACACTTTATTACATTGTAAAAATTTCTCTTTTAAATTCTATTGGTTAATAAAATCAACTATTTATATCATTCGAAATGATTCATAAGATAATAGTCCTTCAGGTCGAGTTTTTTGTTTTTTTTTTTTTTTTTTTGTTCCAGTTAATATCAAATAAAATGAAAATAACTAATTAGAAAATGTCATTTCGCCGAAATAGTCTCGGCAGTCTCACATCTAGTGTCAATCGACAACAAAATCCTAGAATGTTTGCTAATGATCCTAATATTGACTTAGTAACAAAAAATGATGCTTTGCAAAGTATTTTACCAGAAGTATGTAGAATGTTTCAAAACAAAACAAAAAAATAATAATAATTAAATCTAATTACAAATATATTTATTTATTTTAGTTCATCAAAATCGTTCGAAAATTATTACCACGTTTGTATTTACATAATTTTATAATTTTTTAAAATAAAAGAAAAACTTTCTATTATTTAGAAGAACTTCCATTTAATATGTATGTGCATAATGTTGAATATACAGAAGGTGGTTGTAATCATTTAGTTGGAACTTTATATATGACAAATTTTCGAATTGTATTTGCGCCAGATGATGAAACTGACGAGAATATTTTAGTATGTAATATTTCTTGTAGTGACGTAATCAGAAGTGGGTTAGACTGGGCGTCGCCCTACTATTAGAAGAAAGAAAAATATAAGAATTATCAACCTTGACACTATATTCTATGAATTATCTACAAGATCGTAAGGCGTTGGTCTAAAAACCACGATCTTCTTGTCGCGTCACTACATTTTTGTTCTTGATAGAACTATTATAAAAATGCAATTACTTTTTTTTTTGTTAGATATCCTCTGGAAATAAATATATTGGTGATTATGACATTCCATTAACATCAATTTATAAAATCAATGTTGCACGTATGTAGTTTTTATAAGATATGATAATAAATTTTTACTTATTGTATCTTTTTTTTTCTTTTTGAAGCGGTCAATGCTCGAGCAGGATTCAAAT